CTACTGTGAAATACTTGACTATTCCCAATGTTTCAAACACAGCTGATTCTGAATGAAAACCCATGCACGTGTGAAACTGTCTAGAATTGCAATAATTGCAAGCAAACAACCTGCCTGGAGGAGGTCATTTCCCAAGCTCTAACCTTAAAACCCACATGTCAAGATTCAGCTTAGTAGGGCTACCTCAGTTATTAGTTGTGACACCGCTATCTAGTTTTCTTCATCTTAGGCTACTGTCACTCTGAAGAAACTTGTCATTGTTTAAAATCAAGGCTACTTGAAGTTTTGTGTTACACTGTTTCTGCAAATGAAGTGTATTCTTAGTATTCCTTCCACTGAAGACATGTACAAGAAATGACAGATGCCAGACTTCCAGGATATCCTCAGTATCTGCTTTCTAGATGCAGTACTTTCTTCGATATTTAAGCTGAACTGTTAGAAAGCTTTGCGTCTACACTCATCAGAGCAACTAATCTTTCTTTCCTTATCTCTCATAAAAGACAATGTTTTGAAGTTAGACACCATTTGTCCTAAGTTGGCAATTTCCACTGGTGAAGGGATTACTGATACCTGCTTGAAATTTAGTCTTGCTGTACAATGCTACAAATGCTACTCTGCTATTGATATCAGTACATTTAAATTTCAGTCTATGTCAACTGATGATTACTGAGTAACTGCTGATCTAACCAAGAGAAGTTGTTCCACCTGCTAAAAAGAATGTTCTACTTAAAAGGGCTGTCCTTCCAGCGTAATAGTTTCTGAAGGTCTCCTGAGTTCAGCTAGGCAACTGATTGAATCAGTTATACAGAATCTTTGTCAGGAGCACCCAGTTCAATAAGTCCATTCTGGTGACAAGATCATTTGTAAATTTAAGGTTACGTGACTACAAAGCAAGCAGCCATGAGAAGAACACATTTTTACAATAGATGTTAGCTTATCAAATGTTACTGAACCACTTAGTCATTCTCAGGCTTGCATGTATTTCTTTAAATAAGTACTCCACTTTTAGCATGACAGTATTTCAGATGCTGTTCTGATCACAAGACATAGTTTGATCTTGAGCCAGCACAGTCCTGCTTATGCTAGCTGCTGCTTTAGACACTAATAGCTTCATGTCATTCAAAGATCAGATTGTTTTCATGCAATTGGTACTTCCCTCCTCCCCCAGCATTCACAGCTCTTAATGAATATGGGTTTGGGTGTAACATTACAGCTTGCTTTTCCTGCTGTCCCCTTTCCTTCTGTCTGTTTTAGCAGAGTGACCTTGCCACCACCAGAGTATTTACTCGCAAGCCTAATTTACTACTGTTAAGGAAGAGTCAGCTTCTTCCTTATGCTGGAAGTATACAATAATATATTGTCTTTGTTCCCTTTTACTATTGGGGAACTCAGATCTAGAAAGAATCTTGGGTGAGAATTCTAGCTCTATGCAAGTCTTTTTTCACTAAGTTTAAGTGAACGTTTGATAAGAGTATTTAACAACTGGTAGTTAATCTAAGTAATTTGAGTGATTAAGGCAAATTATCTAGACAGGAACAATATCAACAATTACCTGTTGATGTTCAGCTTAAGATGACTCAAGAGCTATTGTCTTTGGCTAGAGCTCTAACAAGCAGTATCCAGTACTGGAGCTCTGATTCTCCCTTCTGCAGGTGAGCTGTTAAACGTGCTTACTCTGAATCCATGTTAACGTTACACTGGGAGTCAGTGATTTAAGTTACCAGTACAGTTTACAATGCTCATCTTTCATCAAATGATCATTCATTTAATTACTAGAAATTCAGCTTATTTTTTTTAAAGGGTAGAACCATACACAGTATATTAAATCACAACAGTGGACTCCATTTAGAAAAACCTTTCAAGTTCACATTGTTCGTTACGTTACAAGACATTATTTTATATATGCTCTAAAAATCTTCTTAGAATTTTGAACTTACGCTTTAAATGCTGGAAGGTAAGAGTATACAGAAGTGCTGCTCAAATTATAAATAAATGGTAGATGTTTGTTCATATCTGTTGTTGCCCAGCTGCTGAAGAAGGTGTTCAATAACCCCTGGTCTGCACCTGAAAGAGAATGCATTAGTAGGCAACAAGCATTATTCAAATGCTTTAGAATCTTCTCAATCTACTCCACCAATCCTTCCTAATTAAGGAGCTGATAATGTAGTTTGTCAGGTACAGTAGGCATTTGGCAGCGAGCACTACAGTTTGTTTGTAAACAATCCTGTAAGCCTTGCAGTCTTTGAAAATTTGAAAAAAATGCAAACAATGAAAAAGGTAGTGTGTGAGGTTACTTTTCTTACCTAAAAGACCATGAGTTGCTCACAAACCCTGCCATTCAGTCTTTTGCAGTGCAGCTTCAAGCAATGTAAGGCAGCAGAAAAAAGGATTTAACAACTGGGTCCTGTAGATCTTCAGGAAAGCTGTAGTTCAGATGTTCAAGTGACCACCATTAGTTTTATTACTTATGCTTACAGATACATGACCAAGGCCTTGGGGCTGGACTCAAGGTATCAGTGGTCTTTTAGACCTGCAACTTCAGGCATACCTAGCTACATTGTAATCTGGCAAGGAAAGCACATTCTGTCTCAGTGACAGCACTAATAAGACTTAAATCCATGCAATAGAAGTTCCTAGCTCTGCCATACAAAGCCACCAATTAACCCTTACGTGAGGACAGCCGTGTACGTCATGACCAAAGGTACAGCGTTGGAATGGCTCACCTATCAGTTTGCAAGCAGAAGTTGTAATGAAGTCAGTGAATTTGAAGTTGTTTGGTATGCCAGTAGTAGGGTAGTTAAAAATATAGCTCCTGCCCCAAAGTAGGTCATTTGACAAGGAGCTACTGAGAAGTAAAAACTACATATTTATTGCAGGGAATATACTTAGATTAAGTATATTCAACAATTTCAGCTATACTTTCTCTCACAAATCAAACTTGTGAGGGATTTTTCAATCTCATTTGCTGTTTTCACCTATAACTGCATTCACAAGTAGCACTGCTAAACAGCAGAAACATAGCAAAACACATAAATAAAACATATAAAACATACACCATCCCTTAATCTTTTACTTTCTGAAGCACTCAGTTTCTGCTGACTCAGGAAAAGATGATTTTTTTTTTTTTTTTTTTAATTGCCTACAATTAAGTACAGGGTAGTACTAAAGTTTACATCCTCAGTGTAGTTTGAGAAAAATCTGCTTTTTGTGATTAAAATATCTATATTGATCATACACTTAGACTTACAGGAGATACAGTGACAAACAAGTTCTAAGTGTCCTGTTACAGCAGTCAATATATGTGAAGATTGGAGAGCAAGACACTGCCTACAGACTCAGATCAGTAATTTCAAACCTTTGACTTTCCTCTCAACCCCTAAAGATGCAAAGCACTTTTGAACAAGTTCCCTATTGCAAGAGAGCAAAGTCAAAGGAACTGGAGAAGTTCCCTGGTCTTTACTCAGTTATATAACATTTAAACTTCTGATTTAGCATATGCATTCATAACACTAGGTTCTAAACCAAACTAAGTCTTGGTGGCCCTCTCAGAAGAGGTAGCTTGTGACTAAAGGGTAGCAACAGCGTATTTAACTTACTCTACCTGACTTTATCACTCAGACTTGCTCCACACACTCAGCTTTTTTTTTTCAGTTTGCATGCATTTGTGCCAAAGCAGCCACTGAAATCAAAGTTTAGCTGTCCTAGCTCGGACTTCAGCGGTAGTCTTCTACAATTCGGCCCTTAAACATAAGGTAAGAGAGTCAGGCAGTATTTATATTCTCCACATATCTACAGGTAGTTCTGCTGCATGTCTTTTTATGAAAAAACAACTGTTTCAGATCCCAGAGTAAAAAGTCAGACTATTCTGCAGTAATATCAGTTGTTAAGGTATCAATACTATCAGAACTCTTTTAAAACCAGACTTTTTCCTCCACTAGTTCCTTATTCTCTGTTTGAGTTTCACTTTTCTAGATAAAGCAGTTGTTCTCTGTAAGTAGCTGTCATTCTACTATTCTTAGACTAAAGTATTATACATAAGAGCCATCTGTCTACTGTAGTTTATAACCACAAAATACATTAGAAGGTATTATATTTCCTAGTTTATACTCCTGCAGATAGGGTGTATAAAGCTTGATTTCAATAACTTGTAGATTACGAAATTTGCATTCCTGTGCCCTGTTAAGGGCAGTGACTTCTCAGATTTTCACTTATAAGAAGTTTCCTATAAACTTTTACTAATGTCTAAGTCAATTGAAATTTAAATACTCTTTCTCCCCAAGTTCACAAGCTCAACACATCTTACACAAGTAGTAATAGTCTCCACCATCTCATTACTCAGGTAAAACATGAATAAGTTCAACAGCCAAATAATAAATTACAATTCTAAAAGATGGCAAATGATTAATCCATTTTTCCACTAAGAGCTATAACAACTGCTGCATGTAGACAACATCAAGGATGTTACATCATTACGTGGCTCTAGCTCTGAAGTCAAAAAGAACATTGTAGAAGCAGCTGTACTCTCTTCAATGACAAGGGCCTTACACCTAGAAGATGGCAATTACTAGGAGTCGAGCACAAGGCTCAGAGAGGACAAATCTCAGATGTACCTGGAACTCTTCAGTCATCTTCTTCTTTTTTAAATGCAACAATTCAGTACCATCTTACAGCTCTTGGCACACAGAACCACAGAATGGCTTGGATTGGAAGGGACCCCAAGGATCATCAAATTCCAACCCCCCAGCCACAAAAAGAAGGGCCACCAACCTCCAGATCTAGTGCTAGACCATGCTGCCCAGGGTCCCATCCAGCCTGGTCTTGAACACCTCCAGGGACAAGACCTGGAGCACCCACAGCCTCTCTGGGCAGCCTGATCCAGCACCTTATCACTCTCTATGAAGAACTTCCCCTTGACATCCAATCTAAAACTTCCCTCATTGAGCTTAAAACCATTCCCCCTTGTCCTAGCACTATCTACTCAAGTAAAAGGTTGATTCCCCACATCCAGAAGACCAATTTACCTCCAATGTGTGAAAGCACTCCTAAAGCTATCAACTACTGCCTTGTTAGTCATGAGGTACAGACAGATCCCTTTGTTACAGCACTAATTTTCACTAGGTTATTCACACTAAGCATCCAGCTGAGACCTATGCTCTCTAGGAGGCTGCACATAGGAACCCATGAATTAACAGATAATTCTGTGAAGTAGGAGTGACATCTAGAATTTTTATCCCTTACAAGTACAATTTAACAGTCTTATTATACAGTTTTCTGCAGCACTTTTTGTAAAACTTTATTTCACGCCATAGTAGATAGATAATTAAATTTAGTTAAAGGCTTCTAAAAAACCAGACTTGTCTCAGTTGCTACAACAGACTTCAAGGAATGTGTGCATTTACTGCAATGGTTATAGATTGCCAAGACTAACAGGACATCAGAAGTTGGATTTTCAAGCTTAAATTTGGTACAGTGACTAATCGTTAATGACCTACATCTATAATGGACAGCAGCTGATGCTACGCACACCATACTGGTGAAAAATCTGGTCACCATCCTATAAAGATAAGAAGCTATCACATGCATATCAAGAGACTCTCACACGTTCAAGTATGTTAAGATTCTCTGAAGCTATACTCAGGTTGTTCAGTACTACATTTTTTCATCAATTTCAGTTCGCACAGCCTTGAGCACCAGAGACCTCAGAAGAGCTGAATTTAAAGTATAGTACTGCTGTTCAATTTGTTCATGCATTTACAGTACTGTTACATGTCAAAGCTTAGTGTTCTGTGATTCTGCATTGCTAATGCTTATAGAAGCTACTCTCCTTTGTCATTCCAGGAAATCTGAAGAAAGTAGTTCTATTATATACAGGAATATTCATCCTTCACTATGATAATGCGATTTTGTGCAATTACACTGGAGTTCAGAATTCCATCATACACAACCCCTATGAAACATATCTAGTTCCTGTGCCATCCCAACCACCATTACTATTTTGGTCTAACTTATATTGGAATACAAATTAATACATACCATCAAAGCTGCCTTTCTCTGTGGCAAACTGTAACAGCTGATTGTATGTTTCAATGGAAGGTCGGTAAACAAAAACTCCAGAATTAAAACAATCAGGCCAGCCTGGATCTGGTGCTGCAGACAACTCTTCTCTCTCAAAAAGCTCATCGATATTTGACAAAACCTAGTTGCAGGGGGGGCAAAAAATTGCTTTCTGGTTTCTAGGGTAGGAACTGGGGGTATCTTTTTTAATGGATTTTTGACATCCATCTTAAGACATAAAAGAAAATTCTCATATTGATGCTTGTCTTATGGAAGATGATACTTTATGGAGATAGTGCCCACAGACTACATGTTAAAGGGAGTTATTTAGGAATAAGTATGTACATTTTTAGATAGTTAGTCTAAACAGCAAAAATAGCTCCATTATCCCTCCTTCCCCTCAAAAGGAATAAAACATCACCAAAAAAAGTAATAATCCAACCAACCAACAACCCTCATATCATGTCTCCTGGTATCTCTTTGTGACACGACCACTTACCATTGTGTCTGCATCCATGAAAACACATTTTGAAAACTGTGTCAGTTCCCAGCAGTGAAGCTTAGTTAATGTGATACCCAGCTCAGGTCTTCTCAGTAATGCTAAATGTGCTGAGTCCCCGCTATCCAGGATGTCTACCAAAATGACTTCATCAAATACTTTCTGTAGTATGTTCCTGTGGAGAGATAAGTTGCCAAGATTTATGTGGTTCCACTATTAGACTACTTAACAGATTCCATGAACAGAAGTAAAGCAACAGGGAACCTGTCAGTATTTCTTAAGCCATCAGAAAATTGACTACACATGTGGGAATCCATAACCTTGCATGTCAGTCTCAAGGTTTCTATTTGTAACAAAGAACTAGCTGAACTCTAATCAGTTGAAAAGGAAGTTATGCAATAACACCATTCTGAATATGTGACTACTAGAGCCATGTGATTAGACCCCCTTGGAAAAATGTCTTTATCCAAAAAGCTTTAAGAGCTCACTTAATTGTGGCTCTGCGTACAGTAGCATTTTTGCCTAGTATCATGTTGCCTTGAGGTTGATTCTTAAGTTTTCAGGAAGCATATGATTTCTTTCCCCAGGACAGATAGCCAAGTTTTGCTTTGCCATCACTGCTTAATTCAATAGAAGTCTACACAGCTTAAAAATTTGAAGCATCTGTAAAGCAATTACCTATTCTATATAGCATCTGGAATGCTACACAATTATGAGTACAATCTGAGACACAGAGCTTGTAAATGAGTTTTAGAACTCTGCTTTGCAAGATGCCTTTACATTGACAGTTTAGTATAGACAGCTACATCTGAATTTAAGGTGCAAGTTGTAAATAGAGAGTATGAAACTCAAGCTCCACTTACATAACCAGAAAGACAGGTATCGGTTGCTAAAGGTGTTATAAGGTCACAGCACTGTGTTGCACTAATACAGTATGCACACCTGTGCAATTCATTGTGAAGCCTTGAAATCACTTAAGTTAGAACAGATATACCCCTGTTTTTATAATGACAAGGCTATTCAGCCATCACAGAACTCTCCAGAGATTCACTCCATTTATTACTGAGCTATTATTCTCTTTATCAGTGGTCCTTTCAGAAGTTCCTCATGTAGGAAATACTGATCGTACAGCAAGTTACTGTTCATGCAACCTGCCATCCCAGCCCTTACACATGGAAAAAGTATTGTATCAGTTCCATGCTGAGACTAGTTTCTAGTGAGCTTGTAAAAAGTAGCTGTCTTAATTTATCTTACCATGGTTAGACTCAAATGCCTCTTGTTTTGCTGATTTATCACACTTGATGCTACTCTTGTTCTACTCATTCTCTCATGATAGAATTTCATCTGAAGCATCTGCTAGATTTCAAGAATGTTGCAATGGCACAATCTAGAATGCTTCTGTGAGATAAGTAGATACTAATTCCCCACTACCACACACATGTGTATACTGCTACTGAAGGCCTGGGCAATGCTGTGTTGTCAGACAATCCTAAGGGCTACAAAAGAGCAAAGATCCGGTTAGAATATTAAGTCAAATTATAGTGCTCTAACTATTGAGTATTTTTTAACCTATCATACAAGAAAAGCCACAAAACTTTCAAGTCTGAATCCCTCACAGAATTCCAGATAGTTTAGACTAATTCTCCTAAGCTTAGTTAAATTTTCAGAGTTTTGGAAAGTTACTATCAAGAAATCTAACTTTCTTCAACCCTCACATCAGCAGAAGCTGTGGCAGTTTGACATATTTAAGCAACCTTACCTCATTGGATCAGAAACCTGAGGAGTTATGAGTGCAGTCAGCTTCCTCGTTGTTCCAGACTGTTGCAAGGATGAACCAAGTACAAGTGCTCCTTTCACATAGGAATCATTTGTGGCTAGAGTCACAAAAGACTGGTCTAGAAGAAATTAACTCAGTCAAAGTTGCACAATCCACTACTTTATTCTGAGTTAAATACACTAGAAATCTAGTATTGTTAGATAGCCATGTTGAAAGATCTTTAAGACACCCCCTTCAAACCTACCCATAAGGTAAAATGAAGAACGTTACTATTGCATAGCTATACTTGCTATTAGTAACTTGACACTTGCAAAAATAGAGTAAAAAAATTAAAGACTACTGCAAGGTAAAGCCAGTTCTAGTTTTCCTACAGGTTAAGTATGACATCCCAACATTAGAGAGGATCTAAAAGGTCTGGAGAGATTTATTTAGCTAATTACATGCTGTTTTTAAGCTAAACAGTATTGGAGTCAGTACGCTTGCATTTTTTTTCTAAAGTTACTAACAGTACAGTTTCATAAAGCTACACTGGGTTCAGCTCTGAACCTGAAGATAGTTAGATTTTTTTTTTCATTTTCAAATGAAAGTAAACTTTGATTTAGATCATGGACAGTTTTATTGAAGATGAGTTGTTCAGCAAGAAATGGTTGCAGCTGTTTAACAAGAAAGCAAGATTTAAATGGGAAGCATCTAGTAATATGCTTAGCAATCATTTTTGCTCACAAGAGAAGTAGAGCTAGATTGTTACTATCCAGTATATAATCTGTTACTTCAACAGTATTTTAAAAATATGCATCACCTTGTTGTATGTTCACTGAGGCCATATAATGCAAATTTTTGCCAAGATAGGACTGACACAGTCCAACGCGGCTTCTAAACCCATTCAGTTCACCACCAGCTGTTATTACATAGTAGCCCTTTACAAGCTACAACTCTTTATGAAGAAGCATACTTTTCTCCCAAAAAATCATTTCTGACATTACAAGCAAAATATTTTCTTGCAAAGAATTCAAAAACTGGTTTTGACATTAAAAGTTCATTTGGAAAATAACTCCTCTTTACAAAGGTTGATTAGATGAAGATGGAGAGCGAAGGCTCTAGGCACTCTGTAGCCTAAAACCAAGCATAGTACTAAGACTAAAACACTGACTGCTCTGTTTTCGGAAAGATTGCTTTTAGGGACAAGTGCTCACATCATGAGATAAGTCACGTTTTCACTACTATCTTTTTAGATTACTGCCATCTGAATTGCTGGCAACAAACTCACATGATAATTGCCTGTAAGCACAGCAAACTTGGTTTACAAACTCTAGAGGGTTTTGTTGCTGGCATGTACTTCTTTTAGCAGCACAACCAACCAGTCCCAAGAAACAGATTATGGCAGTCAATTACAAAATTTAAGAAAGCTTCTATAAATACCGGAAATCAATACTCTTTTTTCCATTTCACTTAATCTGTAGTAGTTCATATAATTCAGCAAATCCAAAGAACAATCTGCAGCCTCTTGAGAGCTTTGAAGCTTTACAAACAGCAAGTGTGTAAAATCTTAACTGGTATAAACCCTCTTCTAACAGGGATCCATGTTTATTACTGAATTTGCACACTGCTTCTCAGCTACTCAATAAATATCCATTTGCCACTATATACTGATAGAGAACTCACTACAAGTCCAGCACAGCCAAAGTATAATTATATGCCAGCAACATTTAGCTGAATTATTTCCCCCTTCCAGCAGAGTAAGACATTCTTGCTACTGACAAACTAGACTTTTTGTTTAACTTTTAGCTTTCATAAACCTAAAAAAATATATCTACTGGTTAGGCAGCTTGCATGACACACACAAAGGTTTTAGTGAAAATAAAATCAATTTAACAGAGAAGTAAGAGTTAGAAATTCCCCATTATATCTCAACTGCAGTAGGATGAACTACAACTGCCTGACAGAAGAATATTCACAACTTTTAGAGCACTGAAAATCAGTGAAAATATACTATATTTAAGACTTTGAAAACTATTTCATACCTTCTCTGAAGTACATTGATAGTACAAGTACGTTCACGCATTACACACAAAACCACAGCACAATCTAGGCAAGACCAGTTAGTGTTTAAAATGAAAGCTAAATCTGCAAGAGATTAGCCCACTTATCCTAACACAAAAGTTTCTCGTGTGTATAGGTTATGCTCTCACTGGAGTCATCATTATCCCTAAAACATAGTTAGTTCTTAGCATAGCTGCAACACAACGTGAGTTACATGCATGCCTTCCTAATTACGTAGTTACAACAGCGCCCAGGAACAAGCTTCTACAAAAGAGTCTTGGCACTGCTCCCCTCCCCACACATGTAACAGAGCACTCTGGAAGCCCAAGCCACGATCAGCCTTCATGGGACAGCACGCAGCAGCGGACTGCTGTCTACCCCACATGTTCTATACCTGACTTGCGAGCTTTTAACTTGTTTTGGATACGAACTCCACACCCAGCGTTCTCACCGCAGTTTGCCTGTTCTCCCCCTCTCTGTTATAATCTCTCGGTCCTGAGTGCAAGATTCCCAAAGGCAAGAGCATCTGAACGAGATGCGCACGGGGAAGTGAGGAGCAATGCCCTACAGCCTTCCCGATGTGAGAGAGGAATCGGCACTGCTGGCAGCTCCCCCAGAAGAGTCAGAGAAATCTGACAGAAAGCAATGCCGGCACACTCGCAGCGCAGCCGGCACGCTCGGAAGTTACGCACTGCCTGCCGCGTTTCAGGAACGGGGCTGCGCGTTCTCCGCAAGCTGCCGCACTCCGGCCGGGAGCTCCCCACGCCCCCTCGCTTCTCAGACCGCATCCCTCCAGCCGGCAGCGAGGCCTCGGAGCAGAGAGGGCGGCGCGGAGCGGGGCAGCGGCAGAAGCGTCCTCCCGGCCCGCAAGATCCCCGTCCCCACTCCTCGGGCAGCCCCAGACCGCACCGGCTGCGGCATCAGCTCGCGGCGCCTCTGCATCCTAGCGCGAATCAGGCCGAGGTCAGCAGCCCGCAGCTGGCAGGGACGGCCACCTAAAAATAGGAACCGGCGCGGCCCGCCCCAACCCCGCGACGCGGCCGGGACGCGGCTGAGGAGCGCGCCGACCCCACAGCCCCGGCCCGCGCTGCCCCCGGCCCTCATGGGTCGCAGCGCGACTGCCGCGCGCTCGCGGGAGGTGTGGCCGCGCTCACTGACCTGCCATAGTACCGGCTCCACGAAGCAGCTCAAACAAACGCAACAAACCAGCTCCGCGACCTACCCTGCGGCCACCCCTAATATAGGGGCGGGGCCGCGCGCGAGACGTCTGCGGCCGGTGGGCGGAGCCCCAGGCGTCTCCAGTGCTGCAGGGCGTGGTGTCCGCCATGACCGGCTGCGGCGGCGGCACGTCGCTCGTGCTCTGGTTTCGGCACGCACGTGCGGGGTCGGCGGTGACCGCCTTCAGGATGCGATCCTCGTGCATTCCCTTGGTGTTCTGTTGGCCGAGCTGTCCTTGAAAGCACTCCGCTGTGCGGACGGAGGTGACACCAAAGGCTTGGGCGGCGCTGCAGGCTGCCTGAACGTTACTGATGCTGTTGACAGCTCTCCCTCCCGCAGGGCAGCGTGTGTCAGCGGGCAGGCTGTGTATTTATTTCATACCTGGGGTTCCATCCTTGCAGAAATGTAAGCTGTACCTCTTTGGTAGGTAATGGAGAGTACAGTCTCCTGTATCTGCTAAATTTTCATCTTTAGGAAGAAAGGGCTATCTACAATAGTTCTGTGTCTCCTGAGGACATCAGAACTTCGTATCCATGCGCATGGCCTCGCCAGTGCCATCGCCTCTTACCAGCTGGCAGCACTTCACCTAATGCAGACCATGATACCCACATCTTTGCACAAGGGCATGGTGCAAACTGCATCAACAGAATCCCAAGGTCCTCTCCTGTAATCTGTTGCTCATGGCGGGGATGTGTCTCAGCTCTGTCACTCAATACTTCGAGGGAAACCTGTCAGGAACGGGATTCCTTTCTAACCTGAAGCGGCTGACAGTTTGTCGTGCATGGATTTAAAAACTAAACAAATCCTCAAGTGCAAGCTGATGAAAAGTCCCACCTCTTGCAAATTTCCCAGATTTGGGTGATTATGTTTGAGGTGAAACAGTTTTTGTAAACCCTTCCTCAAAAGCAAATTGCTTGCTTTAATAAATGCTAAAATCAGGGAAACATTCCTTGACCACTATAGTGGAAATGCTGAGTAATGGCCTGAACCACTGAGCAACTGGTGGAAGGCAGGGCCAACCCAGTGCACCTGAGCGACTGGAAGGGGTACAGCCAGGATCCATCCCCTCCCAGACCTCATTTAAGGGCTGGCAGTGGAGGTGAGGATATTTTACTTGAGATCTTTGCTCATTTATTTTAAATGGCAAGAGAATTTGGAGGATAGCTAACATAAAGCAACAGTGATGTTGCTTGGAATTTCATTTCATTCATTCAAACCCTGGTCATTTCTATGTGACAGGACTGTACAAAACATCAGCAATACAGATCTCTGAACTGCTTTCTCACCTATCTTTCTGACAATTATTTCTTGATCATCTAACAGCAGAATGTGTGCATTCTTGCATTCTTGATGTAAGTAGACTTGAGGAGTGGAGTTTTATCTTAGGATGCTCAGGGTTGCACAAGAAAAGGGCTATTAGTCAGTGCTACAAGAGTTTGATCAGATGTCTATGTTATCAGCTTCATTGCAATGCAAAATAGTGGTCTCTAGGTGTTAAATCCCACTTCCTTCTAAAATCAATGTTATGTGTGCTTCAGGATGGAGGTTTTGTCACTGTGGAAAAATATATAGGTTGGACACAAAAAAAGAGAGAGATCTGATGAACAATTAAAAGAGTGATAGAAAGCTGAGTCAGCCTTGCCACACAGACTGATGTTCTATAGTACTGTAGATTCCAATTAAGGAATGGATAATCATGTTTTCTTTTGGAAAACTGCAGAAAACAACTGTTTTCTGTGCAACATTTACAGTGTCTATATGAGATACACTGGGTACATTTGCCATCGCAGATGTATCATTCCGAGTAAATGCCATTGTGTTAAAAGCTTGATCTTTACATTTATTCTTCACTGTAGTTACAGCAGCTGTCAAGTGTAACTGTCTTGCAATGTATGCCTTATGAAACAAGTCTCTTAAAACTTTTGGGTTTTTGTTAGGAAGCTGGGCACAATACACATGACAACATCATAATTTGTGAATTGAGCTCCATGTATCAGTCAAGGCTCAATGTTGATTTTCTAGCTGCGTAGTTTATTCAAACAATAGCATTACTTGTACTGTGCAAACACTGAAACAACATTGCATGCTCTTTGCACTGTATAGCCTGGTTGTTTTGTCATTGTCTCTTATCAGCATATTCATCAATGTTTCCCCACAGTTTCTAGAATGTTCACAGTCCTGGTGGAGCAGTTCTGTTCCCCGGGCTGGGTAAAGCAATCATGTTACATAGGCCCGTGTATGGGAACTGTTGATCATGGCCTGAATCTCTCATTGACCATCTGAGGCAAGCACTGAGTCATCCACGGAGCACAGGTGAAGGCAACTCCACCAGAAGTGGTGGAGCCTGGCTGCAACTCTCCTAGATCCCATTTAAGTGCTGACTGCCACTGAGGAAGGACCTGTGTCTGGGGATTGCTCCTTGTGGAGTTTCACTGTGAGCCTATGACAGTAGTGAGCATTTCTATTTATTCTGATTGTTTTTCCACTGTGGTGATCTTACTAAGCCTGACTTCCCTGTACCTATTGGTTGTACAATTGTACACCCGTTGATTGCATGGGCACCTCTTTACTTATATTAGTTGTCTGTAGAAAGGTAAATTTAATTATAGGTAGTAGTAGTTAGGGGGGTAGGATGGTATGGATGCTTGGTTATTTGTTTTAAAAACCACAATTAGTGTGATAAGAAGGCCTGGGCTATACTTGCTAGTGACTTCATGTTTTGATACTGTCTGCTGTTTATGAAGTTCACTTTGTTACAGGAGTTGATGCTAGTGCAACTCTAGGGGCTGGTGCTTGGGGTTTGAAGCTGATGAGTTTCAGTAGGCTTTGAATCTTCAGAGTTTCTCAGTATTATCATTGTGGCTGTATTTTTATTCACTATAGATACATAAAATACTTGAAAGCCCTGTAGCGCTTCTAACTTCATAGTATCTTATGGAGTGAACGCCACTGGGTAATTTTAACACTTTGTCAATGCCAAATATAGGCTATAGATCCATTCCGTTCTGTGTTCCCAAGTATCTTTTGGAGAAGCCCTGCTTATAGTGACACTTCTCAAGTTTCAGGAAAGATTTAAGGCTTTTTTGTTATTGCTGCTGTTTGAGGTATATTGCATTTCCTCACAGTAATTGTAATTTAAAAGGGATGTTCTGAGTATTTTCAATCAGCAGAGGTCACTGCTCTGATGCTTCTAGGTTTTATTGCTGTGCTCTCTGCTAGAAGAGGCATAAAAAAATCATAGGTAGGAATTCACAGCCATTATTTTTCATCTAACTGTGTATGTGATAGCTTTTACAAAAGGGATAGTACATCAATGATTCTAACCAAAACAAAAACATACTGTTTGTACGTAAACTGGGTTTTGTTTTATTTATATGTTTAATGGGTATAATGGTCCATCAAAGAGATCTCAGGTTTTAGCCTATAGGTTATTATTTGCTTAACTCTGATATGGCTTACATTCAGGAAGGCCATTTGGATAAAGTACAGTGTGACTTACATAAATATTTTGTATTGAGGAAATGTTTCATTCAGGAAGCGGTACAGCAGAGAGTAAACATCTATGTATGGATCAACTACAGTGTGCAAAAAGCATAGTAGAAAATACTTTGTTTCCAGAGTCTCCTTTCTTAAGCACTGTCACATCTAATGTCCATAATTTCACTTAACTTAATGTGCTTTTTCCTTATGGCACTTTAGGTATATTCAGAGCCACTGATAGGCTTCAAATATAATATGGAAATCTTTAATGAGACTCTCTTGTCGTATATTAAGGAGGACGTTGTTTTGTACTGGAGTAATAGAACTGAAGGAGCAAGTTCTGTGTTTCCTAATGACTTCTATTTATATGCTTGTTTTCTGTTCAGTTCTCTATTGCTTCTTACCTGAATTTGAAAACTTAAGATAGATCAAGGCTGTGCATTGTTCCATGTAGGAAGTGAAAAACATGGAAGAGCTGAGACAGCAGAAAACGTAGCAGTTCGGAGTATCTGTAACAGGATGAAGGACTCATGGATGTTAGCTCAGCAGCAGGAGAAATCTTAGGAACTGCAGAGTCACAATGGGGAATATGATTATTAAACTATAAAGGTAACATGGAGGCAGACAGGAGCAGAAGCTATAGACTGTTGCAGGCTTTTTTTTTTTTTTACTTTTTTTCAAAAGCAGTTCACACTAAGCAACTCTGATAGGAAAGCCTGTACAATGCTTGTCTCATAAGTGCTTGTCACAGATTTGAAAGACCTCAGAGTCCAAATAGACAGCAATGGGTATAATTGTGGTTGGTACAAAGAGGGTTAGTACTGTCTGCAGTGTTACAGGGATTGAACAGCAAACTTCCAGGTACTTCAGTATGGCATCTGTGGAAGTGAAACATGACTAAGGGTAATAGGACACACATCTTGGCATCTTTGATTATTTAAATGTGAGTCAGGTGCATGACATCTTCTGCATATGTAGTAAATTATCATTGCCATGATAGTCTTGAGACATAAGAAAACAGGAATTTGTAGGTAATCTTTTACTGTGTAAGCTTAGAGTAGATGAGCTTTTCCAGGCAAGTCCTGCATTAGTCTGAAATAGGACCACAGACTCAATAGAGCAACCAGTTTTATGGCATATCATAATATTCTTCTCTATTCAACAGTCAATAAAGTGCCTGTTTATCTCCCTCAGCACTGTATCCTCATTCATTGCCTTACCAACTTCTCTTTTATTTTAAAGAAAGTCAGCATCTTGCCTCTCAGAGGTGACCTATCTGATGTGCCCCCAGCTAAACTCTGAGCAAATGAGTTCTGTGTAACTCTGCTGATTTTATTTAGATCTGTTGCTTCTGTTCTGGACCTGACAGAGGCCTCTGAGTGATCAAAACCTTGTCTGCTTTTGCCAGTTACATCGTTGACATAATGCAGCATAGTACCTCTGTCTGCAGATCTAGTTATTAGTTTTTCAGGGATAACAAAATGAATGAAGATCTTGAGTAGGTACTACACTCTCAGCATTTCCCTCTAAAGGGTAAAAACTTGAGTA